TATAATGAATAGAAAGAATGTATAATTGTTGACTGGAAGTTTTCTGACTTAGAAGTAAGAACTTTGATTAAAAAAAATGAAAAACATTTTTAAGAATAAATAATCTTTACTTAAAATTACTTTAAAAATCAATTTCAAGTAACCTTACTAATCATACCTCTTAAACATATTCATAATTTAAAATTTAAGGAGTATACTATTCACGATTTCCCTATTTCTTGATTTTTTTATTCTCAAAATTAGCTTTTTAGCAATATCCCATCATATTTTAGTATTCTTCTCTCCTTTATAATTTAAAATTACTTTATAGAAGCTAAAATCTGGTGAAAGCAGTATATAAGGATCAATAAATTAAGTAAATCTATCATTTTCTGTTAATAAAACAATATCATAATTAGTATTTAGTATATTTGTTATAGTTATTACAGTGGAATTTTAAAGTATTTCTTTAAATCCTTAAAATTAATAATTAAAGATTACAAAAATAAGAAAAGAATTTAAATATTTGCTCAATTATTTTTAACTTTATGGTTATAGTTTATTAAATAAAAATTTGATTATGAAAAATATGAATAGTAAGTAGTATTTGGAATATATTGAATAAATAGCAGTATATAAAATTGACAAATAGGATTAAATTTTTTAAAATTAAAAAATTTTGAAATGATAGTTACAATTTAAAATGTAAAATAAATATATATTTTAACAATTTTATTTATTAACTATTTGTTTTTTAATATAAGGATAATAAAAAATATTTTTATTTTTATTCATTTTAATAAATATTTTTTAATTTAAATTTTTTTTTCTCTCTTTTTTAAATCTCAATGTTAATCTTTTTTTTTTTATAAATGTGCCTATTTTGCAATATCCATAATAGTTTTAGCATTTTTCTTTCCAGTATGGTTTACCATAGCTTTAAAGTAACTAGAATCTTGCTAAAGTAGTATGTAGGGATCACCAGACTCAATAACTTTACCTTTATCCATTACTATTACCATATCATAATCAGCAATAGTATTAAGTCTATGTGCTACAGTTATTACAGTTGAATTTATGAATCTTTCTTTGATTTTTCTTTAAATTAAATCATCAGTCACCATGTCTACATTGGCTGTAGCTTCATCTAAAATTAAAAGCTTACTCTTTTTTAAGATTGCTCTACCTAAACATATTAACTACTTTTAGCCTACACTAAACACTTCACTTGCATTTGACATATCTGTATGCAATCCTTTCGGCAAAGATTGAATTTTTTCTAAATATAAGTTTATTTATTGTAATAAGGATAAAATATAAAATATATTTACCTGATAATCCTATTTCTTTCATTACTTCTT